TGTTATTGTCCCCATTTCACATATAAGAGAACATACAAAGAGAACCTTGGAAAGCAATGTCCTTCAAACTTTTTTTACAGTAACAGAAAGATATACATACTACATAAAGACTTTGTCTCTCTCACACACTTATAACTGAGAAAAGTTTTCATAAAATAAATATTCTACTCTGTTCCATTTCATTTTTTAATGCTGATTACAACCAACTGATGGGTACAACCCGCAGTTTGAAAAGCACTGGTTTAAAGGGATTAATTGTTTGCCCAATGCCACTTGGCCTGTTGGACTCCTGTCTCTTCACTAAGTCCAGTTTATCTTTTTATAATAGCTCTCTGCTCTCTCTCTGAATAAAAGAAGTTTCAACCCTGTGACTAATGTTATGTGTATTTGATGGGGAAGACAAGAGGTAGGGAGGGCTTTTTATTTCCAGACCATGGGATACAGAGTGAGTACACCTCACGCTTCACAATGCTCCACGAAGAAGCCCATTGACAAAGGCGCATCCTGTCGTGGCCAATTTACATTGAAAGGATGACTTTTATCTTCATCTTTTGGTGCATATATTGATATTCTATCACTTGAGTAATTCATACCTAAGTTGAATGAAGAAATAAACTAACGAGCTAGTTGTCACATTGCCAGGAATCTAAGAATTTATGACATTTTGCTAGAGCTCAGAATGACCAAATTTCAAACTGACCACCTTGTTTTTCCACCTCCTAATAACCTCAGTGTTCTGTGATGATTTGGGGATATATTTTCAGAAGTTTTAGCATAGTGTGGCCAAAATGTCATACTTTTTGCTAGTAATGGAATTTTCTTTTAAAACGGAATTCTATGTGGAGCTTCAGTAAATGAAACAGATATAAGTGGACTTGCTCTGGTCAAATAGGGATAAAGGAGCCCCAGTCCTCTGCTTGGTCATAGTCTCTGAAGACCTCAGATCCCATTGCAAGTCTAAAAGGCAATGGGATAGTCAAAATAGCATGGATACTGGATTTAAACAAAGCTGGTTTCAGATCTCAATGCTGTCTCTTACCAGCTATCCAAGTAAATTAGTTAACTAAGTTTAAAAGGGTAATTGTAAAGAATTACAATTCTTTTGTAATTTTCAATTGTAACAAGATATATAAAATCATCCAGTACAAGACTATACTTAAACACTCAATGTTCATTCCTTCCTCTTTTCCTATCTTCATTACTTCCTTCATAACAGGGTTTTTGAAGTCAGGAGAAAATAATAATAAGGAAATATGAGTATGAAAATCTAATAATTATTTAAGAAACAGCAAAGAAAATTGCTTATATAAAGATTACTTCATATTTCTCAAATTATGACATTTATTCTGACTGATAAGTAAATTTGGCCAATATACTCCCTAGTCACCAAGCTGTCCTACTCACTCTGAAAGCTCTATATGCCAGAGCACAATGATTCCACTCTTGGAAGTATCGTGTCTAAAAGCAGGATAAGAAAGGAAGAAAGAGAGGAAGGGTGAGGAAGAAAAGGAAGGGAAAAGAAAGGGAAGGGAAGGGCAGGGGAGAGGAGAGGAGTGGAGGGGAGGCAAGGCAACAAACAGAATCTGAAAGGATTTAAAACCGGCTATGGTTAGGCTAGTAAGTGCATGTTAAGAAGAAAATATTTCCTGAATTAGATGTGTCCATATCTAATTTAAAATAATAAGGTTTGCAATGACAGTCACCTAAGACCACAAGAACTCCAGAGCAGCAAATTATTTGCAGATAGAGTTCACATCATTAGTTTATCTGTGTTACTAGGGTGAATTACATGTTGACAGCTTTTTAATTCTATAGGTAACCCAGGCCTGCAGGGAAGATATGGACATCCCTCAGTGTCCTGAGGGATTGGTTCGTGGATATCCTCCCTCTCCCCCTACCCCACCCCGTGGCTGCAGATAATAAATTTCCCAGATGCTCAAGTCCCTTATATAAAATGGCATAGTATTTGCATGTAACCTACGCACATCCTCCCATATACTTTAAATCTAGATTACTTATAATACCTAATACAGTGTAAATGCTAGGTAAGTAATTGTAAATACAATGTAAGTTTTATGTAAATAGTTGCTGGAGCTTGGCAAATTCAAGTTTTGCTTTCTGGAACTTTCTGAAATTTTTTTTCCAAATATTTTTCCATCTGCAGTTGGTTGAATCTGCAGATGTGGAACCCACAGATTTGGAGGGTCTGTTGTATATGAGCAATCCTTTATTCTTTGGTGTGAAGACATGTGGTCTGAATAAATGTGGAGGCTTGCCTGTTACACACAGAATTTACAGGGCTAGAATGCACTTCTGAACTTGACAAGCAGTTTACATTCAATAAATACTCGTTACACGTGTACAATATGCCCAAAACAGTACTGGAACATAGTAATAGCATGCTAATAGCAAAAATAACAATAATGATGATGATTTTGATAAATAATAGTTATTCAGTACATAAATATGTGCCAGGAACTGTGCTAAATGCTTCTGTGGGTTTTTTTTTAATATTTATTTATTTAGCTGTGCCAGGTCTTAGTTGAGGCATGAGGGATCTTCTTTGCCGCCTGTGGGATCTTTAGTTGCAGCATGCGGGATGAGGGATCTTTTAGTTGCAGCATGCGGAATCTAGTTCGAACGTGGGCTCCTTGCATTGGGAGTGCAGAGTCTTAACCACTGGACCACCAGGAAAGTCCCTCTTCTGTATTGTGTTTTTGTTTTGTCTTGTTTTGTTTTTTTCAACCATGCTGCACGGCTTGAGGGGTCTCAGCTCCCCAAGCAGGGATTGCATCCAGGCCGCAGCAGTGAAAGCCCAGAATCCTAACCACTAGGCCACCAGGGAACTCCCTTCTGTGTTCATTACTTCATGTAAGGCTCCCAATAACCGTATAAATTAGATACAATTATTATCTTTATTTTATTCATGAATAAACTAAGATTATGAATGTGATGTAACATGGCCAAGATTACCATCTAGTAAGTGGAGATGTCAGTACATCCAGTTAGCTCCATACCCAGAGTTTTTAATGACTACAATATATCGCACTATACAATATTGTCTATTTTCTTTCTTCCTGTAGGAGGCTGAAGAAGAAAAAGACAGGAAAATCTTAAGGTGAGAATAGATAGTTAAGAGATATCAGAGGGACGGACTTCCCTGGTGGCTCAGTGGTTAAGAATCCGCCTGTCGATGCAGGGGACAAGGTTTGATCCCTGGTCCAGGAAGATCCTACATGCCGCGGAGCAACTAAGCCTATGTGCCACAACTACTGAAGCCAGTGCACCTAGAGCCCATGCTCTGCAACAAGAGAAGCCACCGCAATGAGAAGCCCGCGCACCACAACAAAGAGTAGCCCCCGCTTGCCACAGCTAGAGAAAAGCCTGTGCGCAGCAACGAAAACCCAAAGCAGACAAAAAGTAATTAATTAAAAAAAAAGACTCTTACAAATTATTGAAAAAAGAAGAGAGAGAGATCAGAGGGTCTTCCCTGGCAGTGCAACAGTTAAGACTCTGTGCTCCCAATGCAGGGGGCACAGGTTCAATCCCTGGTCAGGGAACTAAGATCTCACATGCCCCGTGGCACGGCCAAAAAACACAGACACACACACACACATATATATCATATATATGAGATACATATTTATAAGTTGTGTGCCTCTAAATTTTTATTTTAATAATGATTATAATTTACATAGTGTTGTGTGCCAGGCACTACTCTAAGTGCAAGTATTCTCTTGTTATTGTCATGACAGCTCCTAGAGGCAGATACTATTAATATCTCCCTTTTATAGATGAGAGGAACCTGAAGCACATCATCTAAAGTTAATCACCTTTGGAAAAGATTAGGTCATGTTGTCACTAGTGTGGGTAAGGTGAAGGTTAAAAATAATATGCTATGAGGAATAGCATCTGCAAGGACCGTAAATATGGAAAACAGATTGCTATTGTTGAGGGCAAAATAAAGCAAACACTGATGAGAACTGGGGCCAGGCATGAGAGTAAAGAAACATAAAATTTTAAAAATATGATCCAAGGACAAAAGAACCACAGGAAGTAAAGTGGAACCTTATATTAATCATTCAAATGAACATGGCCTTGGAGCTGAAAATAAACGGAACCAAGCCTAAAACAAATTAATTTATGGACAAGTAAGATTCTGAATTTTCATAACACGATACTTCTCCTTGGGAACTTATCACAGTCTATCTTGTATTACAGATGTCACATACATGCTATATCTCCCCTACCAAAAATTTAATTCCCTGATGGCAGGATATATGAAGGTCATCTTTTACAACAGAGTGTGCCTAGTATAGTTTTTTGACCAAGGAGTTGCTTTAAAAAGTAACATTTGTTACATAAATAAAGATGACAACCAAATTCAAATCATAGTACTATAAAGTCAATTTTATTGAAAGTTTCATCGTTATAACTTAAAAACGTGAAATATTAAAGTGAAAATGTGACTCAGTGCAGAGCAGAAAATCAAATTCGGGTCATCTGGTTCCAAGGCTGATTGGAGAGGTAGAGAGAAAAAGATTTTTAAGAAATATAGGACTCTCCGATTCTATGCGAAGGAACTCTACCAAGGATTTCAACTCACAACACCTGTTGAGTCAAATTCAAACTGAACTTTAAAGGTCAGTTTGCAAAGAAGTATGGAAAAACTGAAAGGGTCACTTTGTAATGTGGAAAAAGTTGGTCTGGATCATAAAATAGAATTAGCTGAATGTATGTCGTTTCGACTTAAGGTAGATAATATGATCATTGGCGTCCTCTAGTGGATTGATTTTAAAATTCTTTTTTGCCCTAGACGCTGAAAAGATCTGAAACTGAAAATCAACATTTTAACTACAAATAAAAGAAATAGGTTTATATTTTGTATTATACTTACTTACATTTTATTACATTTGTATATATTTTATTATATTTTACATTTAGTAAAATTTTTCTACTCTACAAGCAAAGAGGAAAAACAGTATTTTTTTTAAGGCATAATCTACTCCCACTCCAGCCCTCCCCAAAAGGAAAGAAATTCTGGGCCTATTAAGTTAATTAAATGTAATTTAAATTTACTAATTTAATCAAAACTAATGAAAATGTATACTCTCCCTCATTTGCTTAAAAAATCCTGTAACATTTTTGCTTGAATTAACTTGCTATCAGTTTTTAAGTGCTTGGGCACTCTTTTCATTTTAATGTTTCATGGTAAAACGAAGTTTTTCAGTAGAAAATCTTGGAAATGACGAAGTCAGAAATGTGCTTGATGGATGGGGAAAGAATAAATAAATGTCCACTAAAACTTGTTTTTGAAAACCACTTGCAACGTTTCCTTAATAGTTAACTCAACTTGTTCTTTTTTTAACATAATTTCACATTTAGAGAAAGGTTGCAAGAATCATACAAAGATTTCTAGGATACCTTTCCCTTGATTCCCCAAATATTAACATTTTACTACATTTGTTTATTTGCCTTATTCTCTCTCTTGTGTACATTTTTTTCTGGATTGTTTAAAAGTAAGTTCAGACATGACGTCCCTTTCAATACTTCATTGTGTTTTTTCTAGCACATAACCACAGTACTAATTATCAAAATCAGGAAATTATCACTAATACAGTGCTATTTTTTATCTATATACCTTATCCATATCTCACTCGCTGTCTCAATAATATCCCTTTTAGCAAAAGAAAATCCAAGATTATGCGAGGGATTCAGTTGCCATGTCTTTTTAGTCTCCTTTAAACTGGAACCATTCCTTGGTCTTCCTTTGAATTTCATGATGCTAACATTTTTGAAGAGTGCAGGCCAATTATTTTGTAGAATGCCCCTCAATTTGAGTTTGTCTGATGTTTGCTCGTGGGTAGATTCAGGTTATGCACTTGTCGACTGAAAAAAAGTGTACAGCCTAAAAGTTGAGAATTATGTTTTATTCAGTAGATTTTCTGAGGACGTAAGCCCAGAAGACAGCCTCTCAGATAACTCTGAGGTAATATTCCCAAGAAGCAAGGGAGGAGCCAGGATGTATAGGTTGTTTTGCAACAAAAAACAGGTAGTCGGAACATCAAAAGATTATTGTTAATTAAAGAAAAATGATATATCTCAAGTTAATGAATTTAGTGTTTTTCTAAGTATGGGAAGGTGCAAGAGTCCAGACTTATTGAAATCATCCCTTTGAAATGCACCTTAACTATCTAGAGCCAGTATCCTGCCTTTTTCCATCCTGAATGCCCTCAGTGTGCACAGTCGGGGGTGGTTGCAGGGGCTATGGCTTGATGGCCACAACATTCTTTGTTTACTGATATGGTAGGTGACATTCTTCATCCACACACTTTTAGCAAAAAATACCTAAGAGGTGACACAGCAGCACATTCTAGAAGGAAGCAGAAACTGTCAATTGGTCCCATTATTGGCAATGTTAATTATTTGGTTATTTCTTGACTAGTAAAGTTATTATTTTATAATAACGTTATAATGACATGTATCCTGCAGGTAGATACTTTGAGATGATATAAATAAACTACTCTCCTCAAACTTACACCCATATTTTTACCATCCATTGGTGATTCTTGCCTGAATCAATTATTATTATAGTGATTACAAAATGGTAATCACTACTTCCACTATACCTTTTACATTTATTAATTGACTTTCTACAGTAAAGAGCTTTTTCCTCTCTCCATTTATTTGTCGTTGTTGGTTTGTAATTTATATCAGCATGGAGTCATGGTTTCTTTCTTTATTCGATAGTTTATCATTGTTTTCTATCAGTGTTTGTTTGTTTTCATGCTTAAACTATCCCAGATTTGGCCAACTGAAGCTCTTTCAAGCTGGTGCCTGAACATTTTTCACATGCTCCATCATTCTCTGGGCATTTCCTGACTTTTCAGCACAACAGCTGTTCCAAGGACATATTGTACTTTGCTTTCCACAGCCTTGGGATCACCCATTTCTCCAGTTAGGTCTGGTTCCTTCTGATAGAGAATGATACTTAGAAAACAAGATCTGGGTGCTGGAGTGCTGGGTGTGCTCATTGCTACTCAGATGTCATTATTCCTAGGCTCTCTCCACAGGCAGAGCTGGAATAAATGTATTTATGTGTACACACGCAAACACACACACACACACACACACACACACACACACAAGTTACCCTTACTCTTTTTTTACAATTGTACAGCACCCCATTGTGTGGCCAACTGTAGTTTATTCAGTTACTATTCAATGAATTGTTATTTAGATTATTTTCAATGTTTTTCAGTTATAAGCAATGCATCAATGGATAATCTTGTGCATATGTATTTTCATATAATGAAAGTGGGGGTGTATCTTCAGGGTAAATTCCTGAATGTCAGATTGCTGAGTCAAAGGTAAATGCATATGTAGTTATGCTAGTTATTGCCAAATTCCCCTCCTTAATGGTTGTACCAATTTGCATTCCCATTAGCAATGTATGAGTCCCTGTTTCCCTACAGCCTTACCATGAAAGTGTGCTATTTTTTTTTTAATTTTGCCAATCTTGATAGTGGAAGATAGCATATCATTGTAGCCTTAATTGGTTGGCACTGCTCTCATAAGTGAGGTTGAACGTCTTTTCATATGATTAAGGGCCACTGTTATATCTTTTCTGTAAACTGTTCATGTTTTATGACCATTTTAATGAGATTTTGTCTCAAAAATAAAATCTAAATTTGTATTTTGAGGGTATATTCTAAATACCAGACACAGTTTTATGTGCTGAGGATATAACAATAAAATCACTTGCAAAATCACTCGCAAAAAGTTTACTCAGCATAATAGCATCTGAAATTGAAATACAAACAAGGTTTAAATCTTTGGTTGATGATTGTGCTGCGAGGTTGAAATAATTGCAAAAGAAATCCAAAATCCTACAGATCCATTCACATTACCCAAACATATTTTAAGTAAAAATCCACTTATAACTTTTTGTAGAAATGCCAAAAGAATATCAAGATACTTAGCAGTTGCTTTGGGCAACAACATGTTAGAAGGTTAGCAGAATACAGAAGAGAAAACTTTCAAGAAAACTTGCAAATACTGTTTGAAAATAAGCAACATCACTTTTTTAAAAATTTTCTTATACAGTTATACATCTTCAGGATGATCCATTTAGAAGATGACTCTGGACAGACAGAAGGTTTCTCTCAATGTGTAACACACTGCAGTTTTCCACAATGGTGGCATCAAGCCTTTTATAACTTTTTCACCTTCACCTGCCTCTTCATCATCCCTCTTCTCATCATGTTGATCTGCAATGCAAAGATCATCTTCACCCTGACAAGCGTCCTTCATCAGGATCCCCACAGTATGTATTCCTTAGATTTGGTGTTAATTGGGGGTAGACAGCTTTTAACAGCAATACTCAAAGCACAGAAGCAGAGTGGCACTTACGATGCGCTAGATACTGTTCTAAGCAGTTTACGTATATTAATTAACTCTTTTAATATTCAGAATCAACCCATGAGGCAATACTTTTATTATCCCCAATTTAGATATGAGGTAATTTAATACTCCCAATATTATAAATTTGCAGCATGAAATTAAAAATGAAAGGACAGTTACTCCAATTACCCGATAGAAGCATCGGCAACTTGTTCCTGCTGGTCCATCACAAAGGTCTATCAAACACCTAATGTCTAGAATGTAGCAAAGTACAACTCGTTAAATGGTAGCCAATAGACTTGTTAAAGTTAAGCTTTTCTGTATCACATTCAAATCTCCTGTACCCACAAAATGTATCCACACACTATGCACATTTGTATGTTGAGTATGTGAACTTGAACGTGTAATTGACTATTTCATCTTTAACGTCACAGATGCAGTTGTGCCTTTTTGCTTTAAGAATCTGGTGCATTCTCAAATACTAAAATTTATGAATTTTTAAAATTTTATATTGTAGTATAGTTGATTAACAATGCTGTGTTAGTTTCAGATGTATAGCAAAGTGATTCAGTTATACATATACATGTATCTATTCTTTTTCAAATTCTTTTCCCATTTAGGTTATTACAGAGTATTGAGCACAGTTCCCTGTGCTATATAGCAGGTCCTTGTTGGTTATCTATTTTTTTTGTTTTTAATTGGGGTATAGTTGCTTTACAATGTTGTGTTAATTTCTCCTGTACAGTGAAGTGAATCAGCAATATGTATACATATATCCTCTCTTTTTTGGATTTCCTTCCCATTTAGGATACCACAGAGCATTGAGTAGAGTTCCCTGTGCTACACAGCAGGTTCTCATTAGTTATCTATTTTATACATATTAGTGTATATATGTCAATCCCAGTCTCCCAATTCATTTCACCTTGGTGTCCATACATTTCTTCTGTACAGCTGGGTCTCTATTTCTGCCTTGCAAATAGGTTCATCAGCACCATCTTTCTAGATTCCACATATATGCATTAATATACAATATTTGTTTTTCTTTTTCTGACTTACTTCACTCTGTATGACAGTCTCTAGGTCCATCCACGTCTCTGCAAATGATCCAATTTCATTCCTTTTTATGGCTGAGTAATATTCCATTGTGTATA